GGAATGCTGAAGGTACACTGGCAACTTAGGGCGCTAAAGGCTGGTGAAGAAACTCTAGAAAGGAGTTAAAAAATTCTGCTTCTGAGAAGATGGGAGGGAATCACGTTTTGGAAAATGTTGAAATATTTGGAAGTATTTTCGTTTTGTCTTACAATAATATTTTTTCCTTCTTTTCCTTCACCTTCAAGCTTGAACCATGAACTCAAAAGCTTCCAGGAAGCATAGGGTAGGGTAGGTTCCATCTGGGCCCTCTTTGGATTGAGTGCATGAGCCATATTCTTCCAGGTAGAGAAAGAGGGGAGCCCGTCCTTGTGGGAGGAAGGAGGTAACAGAAGCAGAGGGAGCAGATGGTGAGACAAAGCGTTTCTGAGTGACTCTGTCTAGGCCAAGGTGTTGAATGTGGAGACATTTTAGGTAGGGTGAGGGCAGAGGTGAAAGAATAGTGGTCTTTGCCCTATTTCCTTCTTGTGAGGAGGAAATTTCACGGAGCGATTCTTCCCAAGACCATGTGGGTAACTGCAGGGTCAGGTAGGTGGAGTGTGGATAGTAGGTGAACTTAAGGGGAGGGGTATAAACATTGATGGGGCAAAGTGACTTGAAGCAAGGGTAGGGTAGCCCAGCTGGGCTGGAGGTAGACTGGAAATTGAAGATCAGACCTCATCAGACCCAGCTGAGAAAGATCTGACAGTTCCTCAGGCCCAGATTTGAATATTAGATGGCAGGTGGGGGCTCCAGTGACCAGAATAGGAGATGGAAGGCAAAAAATGGTGTGTTTATATCCAGGGCCCACCACCACTCCTGAGCTGCCATTTTGGAGAAGAGCATGGGAGTGGAAGAAACTTAAAAGTGCTTGATCTTCTCCTCAGGAAGCCCAAGTTACTCAAAGACACTATATGTTTAATGGAGTTTACCAAGTGAATTTGTTACGGAGCCTGGACTGGATTGCCTGATGGAAGAACTAAGCGGCACTCGGAGATCTTGGAGGATAGGTTTATTTAATGTCGCTGGGCTCAGAGGAGAGCGATCTCCAAAGGTCTGAGCCCCGAGCACAAACAAAGGGGGTAATTTATACACTTGTACTTCGGCATAGTGGGCACTCTTGGTGCGTGTGTGAAGTGGGGCAGGGAGAGGAGCCCGGATTGGCGCACGCGGGAAGCAGAGCAGAGAGAAGAACCCGGAAGAGCCCTGACAGTAGGGGCTGGGACTCCCTTGCTGGCTCAGTTGGCCATCTTAGGACACAGATTTCCCTTATCATTTCCCCCTTTGATGCCCCTTTAAACACCTAGTTTAGAGGGCATCATTTTCATCTTCTAAGGGGCAATAGTGAGTAAGGAGCAACTGGAGTCTGATTTTAGCAATTTGAGTAGTGATAAACCTAGCGAGGGCATTAAGAATACAAGAACCAAATGCTACTATGAGGAGAAGCAATAGGAGGAGGCCGATGAGGGGGGCAAACCAAGGGAACCATTGTGAGAGGGTATCCCACCAAGTTGTCTGCTGGAGTGTTTCCCACCGGCATGTACTCATTCCTGTAATTGGATCAGAGTTTCTTGGACCACCCCCGACTCATTAGCATAGAAACAACATTCCTCCTGTAAGAAGAGACAGAGCCCCCCTTGTGTGGCCATGAGCAAGTCGAGCCCGCGCCTGTTTTGGAGGACCACTGAGGCCAGTGAATCGAGTTGGTGCTGCAGGGCTAGGGCCGACTGAGTGAGGGTGGAAAAATCCACTGTGAGTTGTTGAGTTAACCCCTGGTACTGAACCTGAGACATCCCGACGCCAGTGGCGCCGAGGGCAACACCTGATGCGGCCAGCAGGCTCACGATAAGAGGGATGACCATGGGGGAGCATTGAGGGTGGCTAGGAGGTCTCCATATGAGTGGGGCATCGCTCCTGGGGAGGACTGAAAGATCAGCTAAGAGACTGAAAAGCCTGCATAATTGATCGTGCGGGGTGATGCAGATGTATATACCTTGATCACAAGCCAGAAAAATGTTGTTAGGAGCACAGATCTGACTGTGGCCCATGATGGGAGAGGAAGAGTTGCCATACAGCGGTACCGGAGCCAGAAAAGGATAATCTGAGGTCCCCGGTACCGAGGTGGGGGGTGACACAGTGGATTGGTTGAGGATGACACTTAGGTATTGGACGGGACCGGACTTCATACAGATCCAGCGGTCAGACACTATGGGTGGATTTGAGTGGTTAAGTGTTTGGTGGGAGGCGTTAATCATACCTAACAGTTGTGCTATAGATGCTTGCTGCCTGTGGATGGGGGACCCAGGGATGCGCCAGGGCAAGTTATTTTCTGTCTGACTCCGGGGGTTGACTGTAAGGCTTGGCGTGAACATGGACTTAATCATAAATTTGGCCGTGGGGTCGGTCCCCATAGGGTGATATTGGTCCAACAGGAGAATGATTCCTGTAGCCCATGACGTGGCATTGGGTTCTAAGACTGAGAGGGTGAGCACTATACAGTGATTGTTGGGGCAAGAGGATGGGGTAGCATTATGTGACAAGAAATCCTGATGTCACTGCACTGTTTGAGGCGTCACCTGGTGGACCATTGTTCCATTCCTGGCCAAGTTGCCACCCATAACTCACATCCCCAGGCTTGTGAGCAGAACTGAGGACAGGTGTTTGGCTGTTGAGGCGTAGGGCCCCCACAGATGTAGATATCTACCAGCCAGTAACCTGAGTGAGGCGCATGGTAGGAACACCATCTATGAGGTTCCCAGGAGGTGTCAAGAAGCTGACATCCATCAAAATGGAGGTCAACCTTTGGTGTGTGCCCATCCCAGTTGGAAGAAGTCAGTGGGGGTGCTGGTGAGGGATTGAGGGGGATAAGCTGGAAAGTCCATTTGCCAGTAACGGTGATACGAGAGTTTGCCCCCCTTGCTGGGCCGGGCAAGCTTAGAGGCAGTGAGGAGGAACAGCACACCAGGTAGCAGAAAACCAGGACTGACTGGGGCCAGGAAAACCATGGTGAAATGCGCTCAGGAGTAGACAGCAGAGGGCCAGTAAAAGCGGGGTCTATGACCTTAGGTAGAGGGAGCTAT